ACCTGTGACTGACTTTAGATCTGTAATTCCTCTAGGTTCAGGAGAGTCCTGTGGTTCTTATTAGCACCCCTCTCATCATAGTGTTATGTGAGATTGCTGAGACTGCCCATTAGGCAACAGTTGGTCATAAAGGGAGGGATATTTTATCAAGTCCTAAGTGCATAGCAGGGCTTAGGTGAGCTGCTCTCAGAAGTTCTACTAATGCAATGCACAACCCTCTTTTTTGAGAGGGGGAAATCACAATGCATATTAAATCTCCTGGTCTTCTCGTTCCCTCCAATACACTCAAGCTGGAAGGCAGGCTGTTCTACCCCACTCCTATTGTCTTTTCACTTAACTAATGCATGTTTAACCTGCATCCTCTTCTCACCCAGGGAAGCTCAATTACCAAAGACCTCTGGAGTACAACTGCTGATATGGTAAAGGAGAATGAGAAATTTGGGGAAATCCTTAAAATCCTTCCTCAAGGTCGTAGCTGGCCTTTCAAAGGCATTATTTGTACATAATCCAATTTGAATGTCAAAAATATTGCTTAGGTATGTCCCCTTTCACTCCATCTGTAACACGTTTTAATCTTCTTCTCTGCAGATGAATGCCTACGGTGATTCAGGGTAAAGGCCAGACATCAGAAAAAGAAGAGATAAAAACACTGTAATTGGAAAATCAATTACTCTTTCAGAGAAGCTTATTTCAAAGCTTACCATATCTGCCTACAAAACCTCATTCTTCTTGTTTAATTTACTTTACTATTATACTTTGTACTTCTTTCTTAATCTTCCTTTTTAAATTAAAATATTAAATACTTTGAAAAGAATACAGCACATATTTTTTTAATGAAATATGTTACTTCTTTCTTCTAACCAGCCAACTCCAGAAGCACTTGTCTAAGAAGAATTTAGCTTTTAATGTTTTAGGTAACTCAAATAAATGCATGTATTTTAAGTTGTTCTTAGTAAGTTCTGACCAAGAAATATATATATTAAACCCACTCTTAGTCAAGGTATAGAAGGTATCAACTTGAGGGAATTCCTTTATTTCCTGTCAAGGAGAATTTTATACAATTCAGAGGCCCACACTGTTCTGATTTCTCTGAAGAAATATCTCTACAGCCTGTGTTCTTAAACTTCATCTAAGCAGAATCCTAAAGAATATTATTTTTCTGTCTGTTTTCACTGAGTATAATGCTTTCATGACAATCTATATTACTATATGTATAACAAATTTTAGAGGTAATGTAAATTAAATATTTATTTTAAATTAACTTCTCTCTATACATATATTTGAATATAATTGGCCCACAATACTTTTATTTTACTCTCCACAGCAATTTATTGATTTTTTGTGTGTATTTCATACAGAACAGCTCAAACAATCTTAATCATCTTTATACCCCCATTCCCACTGGCACCATCACATACCAACTCCGCCCCCCGCACTGGAGCCCATATACTTGGTCATCCATGTAAGGCCCACTGGATTGTCAGTGTACCCAGCCATTTTTCAGTGCAAGACTATCACCTATGTTTAGTCAGCCTATCTAGATTCTCTTCTTTTAGGAATATCAGCTCTTCTTCATCTAGGAGCAATCAGTTGCCAACATTCCTTCAGTTAAGATTGAGGTCTGCTGTTCACATTCCCAGTTCTATGATGGGTTATTGTCTGCCTGAGTTTGCATGGCACTTATGTATGCTGACACCATTGCTATAGAATCATATGAACAGGTTCCCAGGAGTTTGTAGGACTCTGTTTCCATATGGTCATGTACCTCCTCCCTGGCTCTTATACTCTTTCTTCCCCCCTCTTCTGTGATGGTCTCTGAGCCTTGGGTGGGAGAATTTTAATAAAGGGATCCTGTCCAAGGACCAGCAATCAGCAGACACTTGATCTCTGCAGTTTGGCGCTTTGTGACCTTTTGTGTTCCTGTCCCTCTGCTGCATGATGAAACTTCATTACTGAGAACTGAGAGATTCATTAGTATCCTCTTCATTATCCCTGTTCTTTGTTCCATGAGCCTTGGGTTTAGAGGTTGCATTGTAGCTGTATCACTTAATCCTGGGCAATTCATGGACAATGTCCATGTGTGAACAGTTGTGGTACTTGTTAATAGTCTCTGACTGGTGCAAAATTAGGTTTCTTGATGAGTGGTAACTGGGATATTTGTCTGTAAATACAAAGATACATATTTTGCACATAGTAATAAATCACATTAGTTTAGCGATTGTTGGCCATTCCAGCCATGTATATTAGGGTATTGCTTACAGTAGCACTCTTGAGTTTACTACCCTTGAGTGGGCGTTTAGTCAAATTAGATAGTTGATTGCCCCCAAGATAAGACTGCCACTACTGCATAAATGATGTATGCTGTGCTGGCCACTGATATCATTATTTTTGTCTTGAACCTGGTGTGGGATCATCCATTGACGTTTTCCCTTGGCACTTTCATAGTGCTCTCCAAAGCTATGAGAGCTAGCCTTGAGGGGAAGTGGTTGCAGGTCAGTTGAAGTTTTATTTCTCTAAATCCTGTGTCTGAAGTTTGATCTGTCTTTGGCAGTAGGGTCTTACCTTCAAGTTCTGGGAGGCCATCAAGGGCTGTGGCGATACCTTGAGTAATTTTGGGGAACCTCTTGGACCAACCTGGCCAACAACTCAAAGGAAGGTATCTCCTGTCGGGCACTGTTTCTTGTTATGTAGCCTTTAACTATATACCTAAATTCATGTAGAGATAATGTATGTATAATTGGTCAGTAGTTTAATGGACTAATATACTTCCCACTGTTCTTTTAAAACTAACTAGTTATGATTTCTCTCTCTCTCTCTCTCTCTCTCTCTCTCTCTCTCTCTCTCTCCCCACAGAGTCTAACTTTGTTTCCCCAATTAAAATGCCCCCATTTCCCCATTTTCCCTTGGTAATACCCATCAGCTATGGGCACTAAATCCTTATAAGTGAGTACGTATCCAGACATAACTACAGAAACCAGGATAATGAAAAGGAAACAGGGAGGGAAAGGAAAAGAAAGAATATTAGCAAGAATAACAGCAGGAAACAGGTGTTACTACGGGAGAAATGGATAAAAATGGGGTTATTTAGATGGGAATGGGGAGGGATGATTATATAAAGAATCTTGGGGATAAAGGCAAAGAAAGAACACAATACTTTTTATTGTGTAATATATCACTGTTTGATTTATCTGTTTTTTCTTAAATCTGATGCTACTATAAAGGTAATATGAATGCTCTTTTTTCCAAGTGTTAACTGAGGACAAAGTTTATATTTTGTTGTATGAATTATTTATGAATAGAATTATTGAATTATAGACAAGGCATAAATTTAAATTTGTACAAAACTTCCAACTTCCCAAAGAAGTTGCCACTTTGATATTGACACTGATAAATGATATTTCCAGGCACCTGACATCTTCATCAACATTTGCTGCTTTCAGTCTTTGGTTTGAGTTTGCAGTATTATGAATTAAATGTTGTATTTTCCTGTGTGTGAATAATGTGGATGGTCTTATCATGCATATAATGATGACTATGTATCTTGTGCTGGTTTTATAGCTTCATTTTTCTTTATGAACTTATGGCATTTCCTTTACATTCTGAATGAAAGCTATTTGTTTGGTTTTATTTGTTTTTCATGTGAATTCATCATGCCAGTATATGGAGCTCCAGTTCTATAATTTCATATCTGAAGAATATTTCATTATATGATTGTACTATACAGAACTTAAACCTGTTGGGAAATTTCTAGATTTTCAGTTTTATGAACTGCTTATTTGAATGGTGACCTTATTCATAAAGTTTTGTACTAAAGTTTTCTGGGTGAGATCCCTAGGAATGAGATTGCAGTTTTTTTCTTCCTTACACTTTATACTCTATCTTGACTTCTATGAAAGGAATTTTATTTTGTTACAATCGCTTTATATCTTGCCTTTCTAACATTTAATTTTTCTGACTGATAATTTGAGTATTATTTTCTAATGTTATTTTTCTACTTCAGGGATGATAAATACAATGGGAAAACTTTGTCTTTTTGGAGGTTTATTGCTTCAAAATTGGAGACACTATTTTATTCACTTCATTGATTTTTATATTTTCCAGTTGACTTTCCCAGAACATTGCAAAATCAGGATTTTAACTATTATGAAACCTTTTTTGCTTGCCCTGATTATGATTTGTCTGTTAATTTCATTTTGTAACTTTCAGAGCTATTTTTATTACATTACTGTCTGTGTGGCATGTGTGTGCATGTGCACATGTGATTGAATGTGTGCCTGTGTGCGTGTGTATGTGTGTGTGTGTGTGTGTGTGTGTGTGTGTGTGTGTGTGTGCATGATCAGAATGGTCCTTGTTTGGAGGTCAGGGGAAACCTTGATGAAGGTGTTCTCTCATTCCACATGTGTCCCAGGGTTCACACTCGGTCATCAGTCTTGGAGGCAAATGCTATTACTCCTTGAGCTTTCTCACCAACCTTCAGTTGGCAATTTTAAAAAACATTACTTTGACCTTTTTCTGTTAATATTGAAACCCACATTTCAACAATATAATACTTTTGCTTGTCACATAATACTGTGTTTAAATTTTCTTTTGTTTTATTATCTGGAGATTCAGTATTTTTTTTTCTAAATTCATCCAATATTTCTTTAATTACCAAGAGTCCTGTTGTCCTATTTCTCATATTTTAAACTTAAATATCTGCAAGCTGAATTGTCTTTCCCATTATTCTATGTTCCTGTTCTTGGACCACTCCACATCTTTTAGCAAAATGATTGAATGCAAAATAAATTGTCACCTGATCATATTTTCTAAATAAATATTTTCACTAAATTTTTGTGAGTTTCATATAATATAATGTGATCATATTTATACCACATCCCATATCTGCACTCCTCTCTCCCCGCCTGTGTTCATGAACTTTGTAATATATGGTAAGGCCTACTGAGCCAAGTTTGTGTCCCAAATTACTTCCTGTGTTCATCCACTGGAGCCAGGCCGATCTCTCTAGCATCAAAACCTTAAACAAAGCCAACTAACGATACAGAGATGATTTGCATGGCCCCTGTGCAAGGATGACACTCAAATTCATGAAGCATTCCATATTTTGGAAAAGAAATAATCTGAAAGAGAAGAAACGGGAAGGAAACAGGCATTAATAAGGGATATGTGTATAAACACGGGGTTAAGGGGAGGGGGAGGGAGGGTTACACAAGGAACCAAAGGGAAAGAAGGAGCTCAAGAGAGGTGGAACCATAGAAGGGAGAAGTGGGAAAAATGGGAGCACTTTAAATGGGGAAACCATGGAGGAAGGGTTAGACAAGGCTAGAGATAAATAACACCTAGCTAGTTTTAAAAAACCAGAGGGAACCACATTAACCAAATAACCTACTGACAAATTATAATACAACTAGCTCAAGGAATGTAATACATGCCTAGGCAAGGTTTATCTGAGAATGTTTGGTCTTTGCCCAAGCTTTATCTAGAGAGCACACCTTAATTAAAAGTACCAGACTGGTGGAACTAACCTTAGATGTCTAACAGCCATACTTTGAGGCCTACACTAATTTGATCACAGAGATATAAAGGACAGTTTTTGCTCCTTGCCATCCTAGGATGACTAAGCTCCAGAGGACTATGAGTATCTCTCAAAATGTCCTGTAACTGTGGTGAGTCACCTGTCCTCTTAATCAAGGAGACCATGGACTCAAATGGACTTGAACCAGTGTGCAGTCTATGAAGAGGAGGGTCAACACAGAGGAATCATTTCCTCCATGCCTCCAAGTGAAGCCATCCATGGTTGAGTAGGACCTTTGACTTATCTTCACATATATGGAACTGGTAAAAAAAATGAGCCAGGGGCTCCTCCCAAGCCCATGTGGCCCCTGAGGAACAGATCCTCAAATGACCTTAAGAGTAAAAATAAATTGGTCTATCTTGGCCAACTGTATGGTCTTAAACACCCAAAAGGAAATTATAACCAAAGATTCAAGGGATCAATATAATTCTTTAAGAGTCCATGGTTATAGCTAAAAGCTACATAACAAGAAACAATGCCAAACAGGAGATAACTTCCTTTGAGTGGTTGGCCAGGGTGGCCCAAGAGACTCCCAGACAGTAACCCAGCATAGAACTGGGAACATGAACAGCACACCCCAATCTTATCTAAAGGAATATTGGCAACTGTTTTCTGCTAAATGAAAAGAGCTGATCATCCTAAAATAAGGATCTCTAAATAGGCTGACTAGATTCAGCAGATGGACAAGCACTGAAGAAAGACTGGATAGTATCAGGGATGACAGAGTATATGGGCTCCAGTGGAGGTAGGGGGAGACTATGGGAGGGTGCCATTTGGGATGTGGGTACATAGATGAATAAGATTGTTTGCCATTTTCTGTATGAAATACACACAAAAAATCAATAAATTTAAAAAAAAACAAGTTATATTTGATCGAGAAGCATAAAAATTTGCTCCATGTTAATTAGTAGAGGTGAAACACATTACCATTGAAATCTACCCAATGATTTTATATCCATGCTCAGGTGGATCTCAGAAAATAACTGACTGTGACTTTTACTAATCAAATACATAGATATTACAGATGCATGTGCAAACATCTAAGTGTTAGTAGCGTTAAAAATGAGTTTTTCATTTTAAATGAAACAGTATATTTTAAAATGAAATGGAGATCTTTTTTTAAGGTTAAAACCTCATTCAATATTGTGTTTTATAGGATTTATACTGAGTTCAATATTACATAACTGTATTGATTCAACTGTGAACCTAAAAATTTACAGCCAATATTGAAAAAGATGCATCTTTACTCTGGAAATTGTTATTGAAGACATCAATGCTGTAAGGAAATGCTTCTTCTAATCATGTGGTTATTAAATAAATAATTATTTTTAAAAAATGATAATAAATATAAAAAAAAGAAAGGCAACACACTTTCTCCCAGTTGTTACCAATTGCCAATAGTTCTTCAGCTAAGGTTGGGGCTTCTTCTCCATTTCCCCACTTCTCTGCTGGGATTTTGTGTGGTTTGAGGTTTCATGGGTCTTGTGCATGCTGTTATCATTACTTTAAGTTAATATGAGTAACTAACCAGGTGTCTGTAGAACTCTGTTTCCTTTGTATTAAAAACCAACTCCAACTCTTACAATCTTTCTGCCCCGTCTTCTGCAATGGTCCCTGAGCCTTGGATGGCAGAGGCTTGATATAGCTGTACGTTTCAGTGATAATTTCTCCATACATTTGGCAGTTGTAACTTTCTGTTAATCACTATCTGTTGTATGAGAGATCATCATTGATGATGTATGTTGTATCATCATTGGTGAGAGTTGAGAACTGATACTCTTTCTGGACCCTCTTCCACTACGTTCCCTGAGCCTTGAATGGCAAAAGTTGCATGTAACTTGTTTTTCTCTTCTTAGTTTCAGTATTCTCTCTTTATTCTATACCTTCAGTGTTTTTGCTATGATATACCATGGAAGTTTCTTTATGTCCTTTCTATTTTGTGTTCTCTGTGTTTCTTCTATTTGTAGAGATGTGTCTTTCTTTAAATTAGGGAAGTTTTTTTGCTATAATCCTGTCTTAGATTGGCAAATGCCATTGACCTGATGTTCTTACCCTTTCTTTATGCTTATGATGCACAGATTTTTTGTTTTCATGGTTTTCAACATATTCTGCATATTTCATTCTTCTGCTTTTAAAAAACTTTCATATTCTTTCCTTGAGCAGTCTCATTCTCCAACTGTATTCCAAGTCTTGACATTCTATTTTATTCATTCTGCTTATGAGGCTTTCCCCTGTAAATTTAAATTGGCTTACTGAATTCTTAAAATTCATTTTCATTTCTTTCTCACATCTTTCAATTTGCACAGTTTTTGATTTTGCTGCTAGCTCTTTTTCTTTTCTTTCTTTCTTTCTTTTTTTTGGTACCATCAAAATGATGATGGAAATTCATTATAATTTTAATATATTTTAAATTAATTCAGAAGAATTTTGTCCATTATTGGTGATTTTTAAATCTGTAAGCCTGACATGCTTCCTCTTTAAAATATTCCGGAGGCAAATTTTAAATTTTCTTAATGTGAGTGTTGTTTCTTCAATTGATACAAAGTTCTTCATGCTGTCCCTAGTCTAAGCTTTAATTGTCCATATTTTTCAAGGGTTTTGTTCAGTTAATCAACCTGCCATCTAAAGTGTTTTCACCGTGCTGGCTATAACATTTTGAGGGACACATTAGATGAAGTAATAGTTCTAATTTGATTATAGCTTAAAACTAGTAAAGTTTGAGCATTCAGATTACCCTCATCCAAAACAAATGAAAACATTTCTATGCCCTCAAAATATACCTTTTGGACTTTCTGTGTTCTAAGGCTTAGATATTAAAAACTGCCAGCTGCTTTTTTGAGATATACAGTCTGTTATTGATTTTTATTATCACTCTATTAAGTAGTAGAACAATAGATAATTTATCTTTTCTGTCTGTAATTTTGTATCCACTGGTTCCCTATCCCAATGTAACCATCAACATGTTAATCACCATGAATGAGAGAAGGCTTGTGGAATTTATCTTCCTGTTAAAAACTATAAATGTATTTAAACTGGTTTCTAATATTACACAATTTACACATGTACCAACATCAGATGTGTCAACATAAATAGATATAATTTTTCTTTATCAACTTTAAAATGAATTTTAGGGTTTTAAAATTTATTTATTTTTTCACTGGCTTTTTTTGGGGGGTGGGTGCAATGAATTTTATTTATAGTATTCAAAGACTAGGGCTACCTAAGCCCCTCCCTATATTCTGGGGGTCTAAGATGGAAACTGTGCAGGGAGATGTTCAGTGTGTTGGGCACTGAGCTGTGGCAGGGATCCCCAGCTGAAGGCCTCTCTTTTCCTTTTGCTGGAGTCAGTGGTTCGGGGCTTCTTACTCCTTGGAGGCCATGTGGACCATGAGGTCCACCACCCTGTTGCTGTAGCCAAATCCATTGTCATATCAGGAAATGAGCTTGGCAAAGTGATTGTTGAGGGCAATGCCAGCCCCCAAATCAAAGGTAGAAAAGTTGTCATCACTGCTAAAATTGCAGGAGATGACCTGATAGCTCAAGAAGCCCATTAGTGGACCTTAGGATCAATGCTTGACCACCTTCTTGAGGTCATCATATTTAGCAGCTTTCTCCAGGTGACAGGTCAGATCCACAACAGACATGCTGGGCATAGGAACACAGAAGACCATGCCAGTTTGTTTCCTATTCAGCTCTGGGATGACCTTGCCCACAGCCTTGACAGTGGCAGTGAAGGCAGGGATGATGTTCTTGGCAACCCCATGCCCATCATGTCACAGTTTCCTGGAGGTGTGGTCCACAGTCTTTGGCTAGCTCTGATGGTATGAACTGTGGTCATGAGTCCCTCAATGATGCCTAAGCTGTCATGGATGACCTCGGCCATCCATGGGGTTAAGCAAATTGTGGTGCAGGAGGCATTGCTGACAGTCTTGAGGGAGTTGTCATATTTTTCAAGGGTCATGCCCATCACAAACATGGGGACTTCATGCAGAAGGGACAGAGTTGATGACTCTTTTGACTCCACCCTCCAAGTGGGTCCCAGCCTTCTCCAGAGTAGTGAAGACCCCAGTAGACTCCACAACGTATTCAGCACCAGCATCACGATGTTGTTTAGATCTCACTCCTGGAAGATGGAGATGACCTTCCCATTGATGACAAGTTTCCCACTCTCAGCCTTGACTGTGTCATTGAACTTGATGTGGGTGGAATCATACTTGAACATGTAGACCATGTAGTTGATATCAATGTAGGGATCATTGATGGCAACAATGTCTACTTTGCTAGAGCTGAAGGCAGCCCTGGTGACTAGGTGCTCAACAGGTCAATTCTGTTCACTCTGACATTCACCATTGTGTCTCAGGAATGAGGTTGCCTCAAGAAGCAGGAGGAGCAGAGAGCTTTCACTGGCATTTTTATAAAGTGTAAGTCTAATTTATCCCCCAAACCAAGAGTTGCATATTTAAAAAGTAAGTCAGAACATGTTGCTCCTTTATGGAGATTTTCCCTTAAACTAGCTAAGGAGCACAAATAAA